TCCAGAGTGTTGTTCAGCATGGGGGTGAGTAGAAAATGAAGGCTAATCATGTTTTGGGTGTACTATTCCTTTAATTCTTATCATTTTCTTCAGAAATAATACCATTAAATAAATAGGCTATATATTGTATGAACCAGTAATATGAATAAACCTGGTTTATTAACAGCTGAGTAATTAGCTACAATTATGGCCTAGGGTAGTAACAGTAAAGAAGTCACTGAGTTTTCTGAACCGATCATCTTTTCCCTCCTGGTGTGCATCAGGTCTGGACTTCTCAGCACGTTGGTTGGTGAGAAATCAGTCACTCAAAGATGGGAGGTAAGCAGTTGTTTGCATGTTTGATCCACACCATCTATAACTGGATTGAAACCCTAATGAGTGAGCGTGTGATCTTTGTTCCAGCGAGGAGAGATCAGTAACTTTCAGTACCTGATGCATCTGAACACGCTGGCTGGACGCTCATACAACGACCTGATGCAGTATCCAGTCTTCCCCTGGATCCTGGCCGACTACGACGTAGAGGTGAACCAGCATTTCACTCTCTGCTGTTTGGTGTTTGACTCAGCAGAAGCTGAAGCACCACACAGAGACGATGGAGCAAAATGTTAAGTATTATTTTTCTGGGTTGTTCATTTTGTTTTTGAACCAGGAACTGGACCTGAACAACCCCAAGACTTTCCGTAACCTGGCCAAACCGATGGGCGCTCAGACTGACGACCGGCTCACGCAGTATAAGAAGAGATACAAGGACTGGGAGGATCCCAACGGTAAGAACCTCAGAGAGAAGATAACAGGTGACTCATATGTAACATATAAGCTCCAATAGAAAGATAAGGTGCATAATCGACTTTAAGCTGTTAAATCTAGTGCCTTTTTGTTCAGAGGTAACTTTTTTTTGCCATTTCTTTCCATCAGGTAAAGCTTCAAAAATACATGTAATATTTGTGTAAATAAAAATGTAATAATTTCTACTTTAACTTCCTTCTTTCTAACTTAAAAACCTTTTGATGTGATGTTATTTAGATTCCCACCTTCTCCATTATTTGCTATTTCACTAATAGTAGTACAGCTAATAAAGGTGTAATAAATGTTTAAGGTCCTAAAAATTCAATGTAAGACATTTTTATTATTTCTTCTAAAGTTAATAAACGTTTAGTTCACTACCTACCTTTGCTTCACAAAGGTAGGCAGCAGCTTGACAAAGCCATGATGGCAATTATTTTACATCCAAGTAGCATGCAGTTCTCTATATATACACACACACACATCAATTTCAAACAAATGGTAATGGTATCGGCCGATACTGCACAGCCAGGTGTTGGAGCCAAAAAATGTAATTGGTGCAACACTAATGCTAATATACACTCACCGGCCACTTTATTAGGTACCCCATGCTAGTAACGGGTTGGACCCCCTTTTGCCTTCAGAACTGCCTAAATTCTTGGTGGCATAGATTCAACAAGGTGCTGGAAGCATTCCTCAGGGAGTTTGGTCCATATTGACATGATGGCATCACACAGTTGCCGCAGATTTG